ATTATATTTAAAAAAAAATGGATCTTTTTATTATACATATTTCTAAAATTCATACTTTTGAAAATATTTTTCTAAAATAACGAATTTGTTTATTTCTTTCTATTGCTAAAAAACAGCGAGACTTCAAAGTATATTTCTACCACAATTTTTAAAACAGATTTCCTTCTTTTTTTCATTTTTCAAATTTAACAGTTGAAGATATTTTTCAGATACCCTGAATTTGTTGATACACGCACCGATAAAGAGGGGTTGAACGGAGACATTACCTCGTTCCTCGACAATTCGTTGCTGTATTCCTCCGAGTCCATGCCGAAGTAATCAACCGTTTGTTAACGTAAATATTGGCCACGTCGTTCCTGGGACAGTTTGACTAAGAAAGAGCCGGGGTACTGTGTCTTGATCCACCTTCTTCGAGAAACTTACCTAACGCATATATCACACGCGACTGTCGAACACGCTTGTCGTCGGATAAAATGTGGATCGGTCACAGACAGTCGTTATTAATGTTAATTTTATCCATTTATTAAGTATTCAGGTGTTCCAACAGAGGCTCTCAATTTACGGAGAAACACCATTAGTTGGATGATCCTCGCTCGATAGATATATGTATATAAAGTATCTGATAAGGCCATATACCAAACGGATTCAGAGACAGAGTCCTAAACAAAAGTATCCTATAGACATACCTTTGAAATTTAATAATATAAGGAATAACTACACCAGTAAAAGTGTAATTTCTTTTTTCTTTTTTTTTTATTTTAGATTCATAGAAGTGTTCCAGCTTTATAAACATATTTTTTTACTGTTTGTAAGATATGCAGTAGAGTTGGTTAATAACTATATACAAAGTGGGATTTAATTTCCAAAGGAATCACTAAGAAAAATTGAATAAGTTATAGAAGATACTTGGACACATGAGATATGATATCTATCTGAAATGTAAGAAACTATGAAACAAGACTTTATTTGTATATGGGGTTGTGCGTAAAATTAGAGTGTAGAACCAAACTGTTTCTTAGAACAATGGATAAACATTCGGTAGAATTTTATTTGAAAAGGTATTAAGAATATTTCGTAAAAATAAAAAGAAACTTTTGTCTGTTACTAAAAATTTCGTCCAGCTTTTTTATTGTCAGCTTCTACTTGACTGAAATTATCGAACGATATTTTTCAACACTGTATAGAGATCCACTGTAGTTCGTAAACGTGATGATGATTCAACAGCCACTCTTGGGTAACATTGTTCTCTTTATTGGATCAGATGAGAACCACTGGGATGATCGGAATAAAAGTGGGAATACAAACATCGAAACATAATAGACACCCGCTCGATGGAAATACTAATGAGACGTCCCGTAGAAGTATAACGGATTGCGAAGAATAGTGATCGTTTCCGAGAATGCATTGGAAACTGCGCGGCTTTACAGAAAAATTAAGCTTTTATGTGACCGGAAATGAAATGTGCCTGTAAGATGATTAATAAGAACGCAAATGTCGATTATATAATCTCTTAAGCAGCTTCTGTTAAAGACAATTCGATTTATTTATTAAATGCATTATTACAATGACGTTTATGTATATGAAATATAAAACATATCATAGGTGAAATAATAGAAATCTTGTAAAATTCTTAGAAAGTTTTCTTTTTTCTGAGAAATTTTTTTAATGATTACCTCTATCTGAAAGAAGAATTACTTGAATTGTTTTGTAATTATAGTCTGATTGAGACTATTATATTAATTGAAAAATTTATATTAATGACAGTTTTTTTGTTTATAGAATAATAGAAATCCTTTTTATTTTATACTTAGGCATAAACTTACAATTTGTGGATATATCGTCGGTTTATAAAGAAGTAATAACTTATTTTGTACTCTAAAGAACTTCAATAATACAAGAAATTCTTTCGTAATTTTTTATTTACATGTTAACAGTCATGTTAGTTACCGTATGCCAAAAATATAGACATCTCTTTTAGAAAAATAAATTGTCAACAGTTAACGTGGTTCGCAATTATACCAGAAATGAACCCAAGGATTACTGAAGGAGATACAGAATAGACCTGTCACCACAGACAACGTACAGGACCAAACAGCTAATGTATTTTTATATTCAACGTTCTGAAATACCGACCGTGTAAAAAAACAGTTTTTGTTATGCCCCCTACGATATAAAGCGGCGACTTTAGGAATTACATGCAATTCAGCTATCCAACATGGTAAAGTCGACAGATGTAAAAAATCCTCTTTTATCAAATCTGCATATAAAGATACATAAATAAATTGGATTACGTGGATAGAATTGTTCCTGATCTTTTGACAAACAATAGAACACGCGCATGTGATGAATCATCCACAAATAAAAAATTATATTCTCATATATTTTATCACAGTGTAATGAGAATTCTTTGAATGTTTCGGTTTCAATAATATTTATTGTAAATTAGAGCATAATTGCATGTACTAAACAGATAAAAATTGATAGATATATTAAATATTTAATTGCTTTAACATTGACAATCTGTAAATAGTAAAAATAAAGTTTCCGGTTTATTTTCAAATACTTTAATTATAGAATAATTAATACTTCCTCTCCAAAAACAATGAAAAATGGTTTTCTGACAATAAATACTAGTTATTCGATCATTGAAGTACTTGAAAATAAGCCAGAAAGTGTGTTTTACTATCTACATTAGTAATAATGTTAAAGCAATTAGAAATTGATTATAAGTATCAATTAAATATAATAGTGATGAAGAGGATAACAATAGCGAAAAGAGACAAGAAATTGTATAGCGGTAAACAAGGATAGCACTAGAGAAATGAGTTAGACAAGTAAAAGAATAGAGGAAGACAAGGATAGCACTAATGAAATGAGTTAGACAAGGAAAGATATAGGGATAGACAAGGACAAAAAAATTGAGAGAGCGAAGCTAACGCCATCTCGTGTTAGGTTACACGAACTACGACTTTTGAATAGGACAACAGGATATAAACAGAGGTATCAGACAAGGAAAGCACTAGTGTGCGACAAGGATAGAGAGAGAACGTTTTCTATTGGCTAGAGGGTCGCCATGCTCCACCTCCCACGGGCTAATCAAGTCGGTCGGTGTAAAATCATTAATAACTCCTGATTTACGATGAATTTGTGTACTTTTAGTATTGAAGAATGAAGTATGAACCTCTAACAACTTTCTCATATAGGTTTTAAGACTCTAGATCCTTTCAATAATTAGTTATTAATAATTGTTGTGCAAATTGTCGGGAACGATACGACAGTCTCTTACGGTTTTTCATTAATATCATTGTTTAGTATCAATTCCCTGTGCAATCTTTATATGCATCCGGAAGGGAGCATCAGTGGCTGCATTCTTTTATAATATTCCGTAAGATATACGTTGTAGTTCGATAGTTATTAAACATTATTCGGGAGAATGCTACACTGGTCGAATTCAGGCGTAACACTCTTCCATCAATTTAACGAAACTTAATGGAATTGCGCGATTATTTGTATACTTTTAAGATTGTAGAATGTAGTACGGACTTTCCTTTACATTCTGCGATAATTTTGGTAAGCGTATGTCATGTGGTTTGTTAAATATTAACAATTGTTTATAACAGTTGAGCTCACCCGGATACGCTGAGCGGTGCACTCTGCCATATAATGTTTAATAACTCGTAACCTACAGTCACAATGTTAATAAAAATTACACGAGAAACTTGCTGAAGGAACAGGCTTTCCAATGAATGTATGAAAGTACATAAATTATACGAGTAAAGGTATGAAATTAATGACAAACCATAAGTAACTATCGTATCGTTCCCAACAATTTGCAAAACAATTATTAATAACTAATTACTGAGAGGACTTAGGGCCTTCAAACCTATACGAGAAAGTTGCTAGAGATTTATACTTTATTCTTCAATACTAAAAGTTCACAAAATTATCGTAAATAATGAGTTATTAATCATTTTTCACTGACCGACTTAACTTGGGGCCTGTGAGATGAACCATGGCGGCCCGCGGACCAATAGGAAACGTTTTCTCTCAGTCCTTCTCGCACAGTAGTGCGTTCCTTGTCTAATATCTCTGTTTATATCATATCTTCCGAGTAATGAGTCGTTAGTTCTCGCAGCCAAACACGAGATGGTATTAGTTTAAAAAATTAGTTTCTTTAGTGCTACCCTTATCTACCACTATTCCCTTCCTTATCATACTCATTTCTCTAGTGCTATTCTTGTTAAAGGCTATTCAGTTCCTTGTCACTCTTCGCTATTGTTATCCTCGTCATCCCTGTTATATTTAATTGATACTTGTAATAAATATTTAATTGTTTTAACGTTGCTAGTGATGTAGATAGCAAAATACAGTTTCTGGCTTATTTTCAAGTACTTTAATGATAGAATAATTAGTATTTCTTGTCGAAAAACAATTTACATGGTAGTTTATAATTATTGGAGGTCTTAAATAAAATTATTGTGTTCTTCAACTTAATAAAATAGCTTGGTATACTACTTTTACATTGAATTAACCATTGTATTCAGTATATTAGTCGGAAATTGTTTATAACTTTTATTAACAATTGGAAAAATTAATGTTCTTTTTGTATGAATTACAGATGGACCTCCCAGGACACCACAGAAGACTAGGAAAGGACTTAAACATAAGGAAACACGAAGAAATACAACTATTTATGAAAAAAACAATTATTTATTGTTAAATTATTGTACAAAATGTATATTACAAAAGGTTACAATATACCAGTGTTGTTTTACAGCATTTTACAGTCTATTTACTTCTCCCTTACACACCAAATTCATTTCCATTGTAAAATACACATTGTTTATGAAAAAAACAATTATTCATTGTTAAATTATTGTACAAAATGTATATTACAAAAGGTTACAATATACCAGAATTGTTTTACAGCATTTAACAGTCTATTAACTTCACCTTTACACACCAAATCCCTTTCCTTTTACAATAAAACCCATTGTTTAAACAATTTTACATTGCAAAATTAAATAAATTAATGCCAGAGACCCTCAGGAATGCGTTTTCATCGAAAAAATCGGAAAAATCCCGAAATTCTAGCGAAAACTACGGAAACTAGGCGAATATTTCGAAAATCGCGCCAGTACACTCGTTCGGTGCTACAGTCCTCGAGAATTCCTGGAATTTACGTCATTTCTCGGAAATGCCCAAATTTCCGAGAATCGAGTCGATTCCAGGAAGCAACCTCCTTTCACATCATGTTCGCCTATTAGAAAGTCGATTTTCAGCCAAAGGGTCTTCGAAAATTTCAGTTCTCGAGAATTCCTGGAATTTACGTCATTTCTCGGAAATGACGAAATTTCCGAGAATCGAGTCGATTCTAAGAAGCGACCTCCTGTCACATCATATTCGCCTATTACAAAATGAGAATTTCCGACTTTCGAAGACTTTTGGTCGAAAATCGACTTTCTAATAGGCGAACATGATGTGAAAGGAGGTTGCTTCCTGGAATCGACTCGATTCTTGGAAATTTCGTCATTTCCGAGAAATGACGTAAATTCCAGGAACGGAAATTTCGTCATTTCCGAGAAATGACGCAAATTCCAGGAATTCTCGAGAACCGAAAGTTTCGAAGGTCCATTGGTCAATTCTTGGAATCGACTCGATTCTTGGAAATTTTGTCATTTCCGAGAAATGACGAAAATTCCAGGAATTCTCGAGAACCGAAAGTTTCGAAGGTCCATTGGTCAATTCTTGGAATCGACTCGATTCTCGGAATTTTGGTCATTTCCAAGAAATGACGAAAATTCCAGGAATTCTCGAGGACTGTAGCACCGAACGTGTGTACTGGCGCGATTTTCAAAATATTCGCCTAGTTTCCGTAGTTTTCGCTAGAATTTCGGGATTTTTTCGATTGTTTCGATGAAAACGCATTCCTGGGGGTTTCTGGCATTAATTTATTCAATTTTGCAATGCAAAATTGTTTAAACAATGGGTTTTTTTGCAAAAGGAAAGGGATTTGGTGTGTAAAGGAGCAGTAAATAGACTGTAAAATGCTGTAAAACAGTACTGGTATATTGTAAACTTCTGTAAAATACATTTTAACAATAATTTTACAATAAATAATTGATTTTTCGGTAAATAATTGCATTTCTCCGTTTCTCTCGATGTTGAAGCCGTTTTCTGGACTCCTGCGGTCGCCTGAGGGTTGCATCTGCAATTCACACAAAAAGATCATTAATTTTTCCAATTGTTAATAAAAGTTATAAACAATTTCCGACTAATCTACCGATTACAACGGTTAATTCAACGAAATAGCACTATATTCAGCTGTTTCGTCAAGTTAACGCATGCAACGAATTTATTTAATACTTCCAATAATTATAAACTACCATCTAAATTGTTATTTACCAAGCACTGCTAATTATTCGATAATTAAAGTACTTGAAAACGTACCAGAAACTTTATTCTATTCTCTACGTTATTAGTGATGTTAAAACAATTAAATTTGATTATAAGTAACAATTAAAGATAATAGGGATGACGAGTATAACAATAGCGAAGAGAGACAAGGAACTGAATAACATTTAACAATGATAGCACTAGAAAAATGAGTATGATAAGGAGGGGAATAGTGGTAGATAAGGGTAGCATTAAAGAAACGAGTTAAACAAGGAAAGGAGTAGGATTAGACATAAAGAATTTTTTAACTAACACCATCTCGTGTTTGGCTGCGGGAACTAATTGCTCGTTACTCGGAACATAGGATATAAACAGAGGTATTAGACAAAGAACTCACTACTGTACGAGAAGGACAGAGAGAAAACGTTTCCTATTGGTCCGCGGGCCGCCATGGTACATCTCGCAGGCCCCAAGTCAAGTCGGTCGGTGAAAAATCATTAATAACTCATTATTTACGATAATTTTGTGAACTTTTAGTATTGAAGAATAAAGTATAAATCTCTAGCAACTTTCTCGTATAGGTTTGAAGGCCCTAAGTCCTTTCAATAATTAGTTATTAATAATTGTTGTGCAAATTATTGGCAACGATACGATAGTAACTTACGGTTTGTCATTAATTTTGTACCTTTACTCGTATAATTTATGTACTTTCAGACATTCATTGGAAAGCCTGTTCCTTTAGCAAGTTTGTCCTGTAATTTTTATTAACATTTTGACTGTAGTTTACCAGTTATTAAACATTATATGGGAGAGTGCACCGCTCAGCGTATCCAGGTGAGCCGAACTGTTATAAACAATTGCTAATATTTAATAAACTACATGGCATACGCTTACTAAAGTTATCGCAGAATATAAAGGAAAGTCCGTACTACATTCTACAATCTTAAAAGTATACAAATAATCGCGCAATTCCATTAAAGGTTTGAATGTGTAAGATTTTTTGGATATAAGCGTATGTTCGTCTCTATGTAAATTGCTATTATTGATTTATTGTATAATGTGGAAATAGAAATATAAAGACCTTTTAGTTGATCGGACGTATTTATTTCGTCTTAAGATTAATTAGAATTATTGTTTAGAAAGGATCCCCCACCGAAATAAATCATCTACTAATAAACAATTACGTTACTTTCTTATTTGTAATTTTATAGTTACGTTTAACTGTAATTCCAACAACTACTAATGTTATAATCTTATTCGATGTGCCGCGGACGCAAAGTCTTATAAGATGTTAGGTCTATCCTGTACATTATCTACGCCTGTATCTTATGGGACTTTTTGTCACATGATAATACCGACGTCGTTCAAAACCACTGTAGTGGATTGCTACGAGACGAGATCTACTTTATCTACTCAAACTGGAAGTAGGAGACAGGAGGTTTCTCTTCATACGTGGGTTTTTACCGCACCAGTATTTTCACTGTAACTTGAATATATTTCTACCAAATAACTTTTTAATCACTATTCAGCAAATTATAAATACAAAATTAGCTTCTCTCTCGACTCTTGCTTAGACACTGTTTCTTCTACCATGGTGGTACCGCTCGACAAACTTTGCCTCCAATGGTCACTGCTCCTGTAACATAAGGAAAAAGTGGCACTACAAGACTTCTCCCGCGCGCGCTCCTACGATTTCCACCGGAGCTACTTCACCGGAAACGGACTTTTTTTTCCTGCTTTCTGCCGGATGTTAATGTCGCCACACCACTGGTTTTGAAGCGCACTCTACGCTTAAGAGCTGTCAGTTTAAGAACTGCATCGCGCAAAACGATCGATATTAGTTGTACGTACATTGTTACTGTGTTATCAATACACCCTTGAATCCCATAACGCAAATGTGTGTGACTAAATCCATTCTAATTCATCCTAAGATTCGAAATTTTGTCTCCTTCATTATTTAAAATAACAAATGCCAAGTGTTCTTGAAATATAATTCCTACCACTAATAGCGCAGTGATATAATACCAGTCCCAATCGATACAGTAGGATGATGGTAACGGGGTTCTAGGACTCCAGGGTCGTGTGACAGAAAATTACATTGAATGAGTGGTCTACTCTATATCTCGTCTGTGGTCTGACTGCCTATTTTCCGCTTATTTGGTCGGGGGATGACCTCAGAAGCCTCAATTTTACTTTGCCGATCAGTCGCAGGGTAAGTGTACTCGTGCGAATATCGGCGAGAACTTCGTTAATAACATTTTAAGTAAAAAAATCAAATCAGACATCGTGGCAATTGGTATTTAACAACACGATAAGGCAAAACCGCCATGGAGTCCAACTGTGCTCCAAATGAAGATGCGATCGCAACTATAGTCACAAACATCCAGGTAGAATATGAAGTACTTCGAAAATTAATGGAGAATACAGCCTTCACAGAAGACAAACGATATAGAATAAAATCGATGTTGATCTCTTGTATGCAATTAAAGGAAATGCAGCTAACTGACACGTTAGCAACTACATCTGAGGAAGAAAATTGGTCATGCATAATAGGGCTTGCAGTGGTGCATATGAATCTTGGTATAGTGTACTCTAAAACGGACAAAATAAAGTTAGGTGAAGAACACCTAATGAAATGTGTAAACTTATTAAAAGACAAAGAGCTAGAACCAAGTGCAGTTTTACTTGTACTAGGTGCTCTCAATCAGTTAGGCCCTATATGGTTCCAGTGGAATGAGCCTACAAAGGCAAGAGACTTTTTAGTTCAAGCAGAAAAAATCTACAATGAATTTACAAGCATTCCTGGTAGAGTTCCCTTTAATATGCCACATAATTTTGGCATAGAAGGAGTCAACATTAAAGAGCATCCTAGGGAAAAGCTAGAGAAACTTAATACCTTTACATTGTACTATTTAGCTCAAGTATACAAATCCTTACAAGATCTTGGCAAGTCTGTAATGTATTGTCATATGACTCTGCGCAGCCAGTTAGGTCATAATTACATCATGCAGGATTTAAATCATATTGATTGGGCATTAAATGCAGCAAATTTGTCAAAATACTTTACAGATAATGATGGCTTTTCTCAAGCAAGGCATCATTTAGCAGCTGCATCTTATATATTACAAAGGTATGAAGATATATTGAAAAGGAGAACTGAAAATAATGAAGAAAGTGAAGAACTTGCAGCTGACTGGGAAAATTTTAAACATAAAAGTGCTGATATTGCCAGATGTTGGGCTAAATATGGAATTCAGTTACTTTATTTATCAAAACAAAGGTTCTTGCAAGATGATGAATCAGAGCAAGAAAATGATGAGTCTGATGATGATTCTCCTAAATCAGAAATACTTAACAATTTAAAATTTAATATTTTGAAGGAGAAAATAGAGCCAATTGAAAATCAAATAACTGATAAATACTTACTAGATTTTGATGATGCTAAATTAGTTTTTTTAAATTTACAAAAATGGTTAGGTGAAGCCAAATTATATTACACTCTAGAGAATCATGCTTCTATGTACATATCAATTGTACAAGATATATCAAAAGGATATAAATATTTATTATTCTTTGAAAAGCATGGAGACAGACAAGCAAAAATGCATAAAAGGAGAATAGATATGCTAGAAAATGTTATCAAGGAGGTAAATCCTCAATATTACAAAGCTGCTTGTAGACAAATTTGGATCGAGCTTGCAGAAGCATATTCTGATATTCTTTACATAAAACTTGATCGCTTACTAACAGATGACATAGTACCCAGGCAACAACTAGTGCCAAAAATTAATAGGTTGACAAAAAATTCAATAAAGAATTATCAGGCGTTTCTGGATTCTTTAAAGACTCGTAATTCTGATTCCGTAATAGAACAGATTCCCGATGAAATGTTGCAAACAGCCCTATCTTCTTACTCTCACATCGGTAGATTATACAACAAACTAATAACTTTCGATAAAGCGGTTCAACAGGATAATATTCAAAATAGTATTAATGCATTTAAATTTGTAGTAGACTATTGTGAAAAATATCCCGAAGCAGCAGAAATAATGAAAGTTGAATTAAAAATCTGCAAGGAATTCGTAAATTTATTACCAATGAAAGGAAACTGGTTACAAAACGAAATGAAAAAGGAATAAAGTTACACATCGTTGCTTACTATACTGTTGCACATATTTTAACGCGTTTCTTTAATTTTCGTGAACATTTTTAATCGACTTTCGTAAATATGCACTTCGAAACACTTCCATAAACCTTTTCTCTCTAAGCTGTTGTGATACTACGTTGTCGTAATTGTATACTTCTTTTTTTGTAACTGGTAGAATAATTTTAAATACAATAAAAATGTTCTAGAAATGTAATGTATAAAAAATGTAAACAAATAAAAATTAAAAACCTATTAATTCTATTAATATTAAAAACTTGTAGCAACTTTGACTACTTATTTTCACAACATACAAAATGAAGGTAAAAGGTATGTGTTAAAAAGTTAAAACTATAATTATAAGATTTTACATTTATTTCACACAATACAAAATCACTTCTTTTCCACTTTTTTATTTGCACCTGCAGCCTTTGTTTTCTTAGCCTTCTTTTTTAATCTGTAAAATACATCTGTCCTTAATTTATTGCGAATTCGCTTTGCTCTTCTTAACTTAAATCGGTCGAAATCACTGAGCTGCAAACGCTGTAAACAAAGCAAAAATATATTTCTTATCAACTATTCAAAATATAATTATTTTCTATTAAATATTGTATTATTACACTTACTTTCTTTTTAGCTTCAACTTTTTTGGCCCATATAGTTTCTTTCCAAAGATCATTGATTTTTGCAGCTTCCCATGCTTTACGTACAACGCGAGTAGATCCAGTGAACGGAAAACGTATACGGAACTTTGTTAAATGAAGATCATTTAACCTCATTGCACAGCGCGAAACATTTGAAGCAGGGCCATCGACCAAAACCTGTAAATGTAATTAAAACTTAATGCAATACTTACGATATCTTTAACATATAATAATTAAACGTTTCAGCATCAGTTAAAGTATAATAGCATCAGTTAAACATCAGCCGGCCATTCCTATCAATATACTGGGATCATCATTATTACATTGCTACTTTACGTAGCATAACAAATTATGCTATAAAATTATCTATTATATTATTATAAAAAATTATCTTACCCTATTTTGGTCGATGATGTCTACAATAGCAACAAGTTTACCCTGATGTGGACCATCGCAGGCATAAGCGATGCGGCCAGTTTCTACGAACCTTTGGAACGGCTATTCATAAAAGGAAAATTTTATTATTTATATAATAGTTAAAAATCATTATATTATATTGCGTTAACTGTTATTTGAATATTTATATAAACATATTGTGGTTTACAATACATGAGTACACCTACCATGTGGTTGAAAACTTAGGTAAGTGCAAGGTTATATCAAATATTTTACATTTTTTAAACATTTTTATGAATGTATAAACTTAATTAAAATTCGTAAAAAATAAGGAAAGTTTCCCTATCAAGGTAATAACTTTTGCATCAATACTGTAAATTATACGTAGTACATGGTTAAACTTAAAACTGCGCTGCACTTACCATGCTTTACCGGAAGCGAAAGGCCAATCCAACTTATAACCGGATGAAGCACCAATTACACCAATTGTTAAAAATAATATGTCCCTATTCTAAATTTAAGCACAATTTTCATGAGAACTATATGAGCAGTTATATTTGTGTACAATTAAAAGAATAATAAAACACATGTATGTAAATTATTAATTATTTTCTCTCCTATTTAAAAAAAGAAGCAATCGGTAAATATTGTATATTTATTTATGTACTTTGTAATTTTAAAAAACCAATAGTTTTTCACAATAATTAGACATATATTATAATTCCTTACATTTTTAATTGTTTTTAATAAATAATACAATACGTCATTTTAAAATAACTATTTTTATAACTGTAAGTTTTATTTATTTCTTTTAAAATACTAATATTACATCACGTGGTCTTCTCGGAGAAAAAAAATATAACTAGACGTTGGCCAACCGGTCTATGTCAGGAAGTGTAAATGAACAAAGTTCAGAAATAATTTCATATACGCGGCCCATTCGTTTGCACTGACGAGTTTCTCTTTTGTGTATAC